CCTCCACATCCTCCAGAGCTGACTCATAGGGCCCCTCGCTGTCGGAGTCTGGTGGCAGCTCCAACGGCTCCTGCTGGGCCACAACACTGACGGTACAGAATTAGAGCTGCTTGGAAAAAATGCGACTTACGACTAGCCCTGGCACTTGGAACGGTGGCAACACTGTCATGGTCATGAGGTCAAAATTTGGGCACTTGGTAACCAGCACGTGTTGTTGCTGAATCTACTTAACAGTTGCATGATTCACTCAACAGCTGTGGTGATTCACTTAACCAGGATTGTAAAACAAGGTCCTAAAATTCACTGCCTCCCGATGGTCACCCAGCTGGCTTTCATGCCTAAGGTGTGACTAGTATTCCCCATCTCCTGGTGATTGGCTCCAAGACACCTAGATGGCGTTGATGCGTAATTTAGGATTAGAACTCACTATCTCCTGGTAATTGCCCCACAGTCACCCAGCCGGCTTTCATGCCCAAAGCCGAACTAGAACTTCCTGTTTCCTGCTTTCTAGACCATCACTTTAACCACTGGACCAAACTGTTTAATATTTGTGCCTTAACTGTCTATTGCGCTGTTTAACATTGTTTCGGGCGATTCCAGTAGATCACTCAGATAGGCTTATTTATTTACGGTCTTAAGATTTCTCTCCCACTTTTTCCTCTGGGAGCTTGACGAAAGAATTTCTTCCCCTGTTGCAAGATCCCTGTAAGGTGGATGAATCCGCACAGGCAGCTCCAAAAGTGATTTTTCCAAAGGCAGCTGATCTTTGTTTTTCCTTGAAGAGGTTTCGCTTCTCATCCAAGAAGTTTCTTCAGTTCTGAATGAATGGTGGAAGGATGGAAGGATTTCTATTCCTTGCGGTCGTCTTTCAAACCTTCACCATTTGGGTGTCAAACTCAATGTCATTGAGGGCCACATCAGCGCTGTAGGCTGACTTCGGGAGAGAAGCTGGGTGTGGCTGAGTGGGCGTGGCCACCTTGACGCCACTCCCCAAACCGCTGGCATGTTTCCTCTTCGCATTGGATAGACGGGGCTGAATCCATGCGGGACAGCCCGTTACATTTTCCAGGACAATCCTGCAGGCTGGATCCGACCACCTCCAGCCCTTGGGCCTTGAGTTTGACACCCCTGAGTTAGAACCAAAGAATCTTCTTGAACGACTTGTACTTGTACTTGTACTTGACGCCTCTTCACCCATCGTGGGTATAGGCGACTTCCATGGAAATTTAGATACGGCGATCCATGGAAGCTGTTTCGGCTGGATATACCCAAGGGGACGCCAGTCCCAAGGGTCGACAGAGCCCGATTTTGCGCATCAACTATCCTTGCCCCCCAACGTTGAACGACAAGCAAAACGTCTTCACAGAGAAACAAAGCCCAGTTGCCTTTGGAAAAAGCACCTTTGGGAAAACCATGATCTGGATGACGGAGAATCTCCACAGGGAATTATTAGCACAGGCGTTTATTTGACCTCTTTGTCCTGTCTCCTTAGGGGATGGAGACTCGGCCTTCTGCTGTTGAGGACCATAAGCGAGACAGCCGCATCTTTCACAGCAACTGTAGTGAGAACGATATGCCTTCCAAGCCAGGCCTTCTGTCTGCAGAGCTCAGCTCAGACGGTGCCGGCGAGACCGGCAATGTGTATTCTGGGTCGTCAGAAAGATTACGCATGAGCAACAGTGACTCCGCTTCGGTGAGCACGAGCAACAGCGACCCCATTTTGATCAGTGAAAGCAGCTTGGTTACCCATCCCCCCATGAGCACCACGTGGAAAAGAAATCGGCCGAGCGGTGCCATTGACGCTACTCTTCCCCCCGAGGTTGACGCTGGCGAAGAAGACACGTCCTTCAGGAGTCACCATGTGCTGGTGGAGGAGAATCGAAGTATGGATCTCATGGGGGTTCCTCCGGAGAGGGCCTCCTGGCGACCTTCCCCGGATTCAACATCCAACGGTCAGCCAGAGAACAAAGCCAAGGACCAGCCGGCGGGTCCTTCTCTCCTAGATGAAGAAGCGGTTTCTTCACACGACAATTGGATGCTTTTTGCGGGGTTTGTTGTGGCCTTACTGGCAAGCGCAGCTTATGTGCTGTATAAGAAGAAGTAAGCACTGGAGACACCGATCGGTTGTTGGCCGACTGAAATTCACACCCGGCCACAGTCCCTTCCTCCCGTTGCTTGATCCTCTACGGAAGGGAAGCTCGCTGTCTTTGGCTCGCTTTCCGTCACCGATGCGTGATGCGTTGAATCCTTACCCTCACAACACGCCTTGCTTATTTCCTGTAGTCTGCCTTGGGGTCATTAATAACGTCTTTCGATCCAGGTTATTTTAGATCGGTGCCTTCAGTGGCCTCATTTCCCCCCTCCCCCGAATAGCCAAGCGGATCGGAACTAGGACTTTTCCGAGAAATTGCCAGAAAAGCAAAAAATCTGGACATCATAGCAAAATCATGAACGCTCGCTTCCACATCGTTGGCAAGGGAATTGCAGGATCTTGGCGGATTTTCATTTTTTTATTTTAGAAAAGGTCGCATCACAAAGAATACGCCGGCTGATGTGGACGAGTGACCGCCTTCGTGATTTTAGTGGATCGGTCCATTGGATGTGGCTTAGAAAAGAGAAAGGCAAGCAGCATCTTTGCTTTGTCCCGAACACGACGTTGTTTTTGGATACGCAAGATGTTACTGTCGAATTCTTAGAAAGTAGCATTCGGATGCCCAGCTCCGTTTTTCCGGAATTAACGCCCCCTCAGGGAAAAAGCAGTAGACTTCACCGAACTGTTTGGGAAAACCCTTGTTCTTCCTTTTCCATTTCTTGAGAAAGAGGAAGCGTAGAAGTTTGTTTTTCAACGATTACAGGAAAAGCCTGTAACATGAACTGCCGCTGTTTGGAATTTTATCCATTGATGTTAATGGAAACGGAATATCTTCGTTCTGTTTTATTCTGGATGTTATATTTTTTCTGCCGAGGTGGTTACGGCGTGATCTTCGGAAAGTCATTTGTTCCTGGCCATTAAATGACAGGCAGTCCTCGATTTAATGACCGTAATGAAGGATGATAGATTAGGATGAGTCTTCTGAAACATTCCTGTGGTCGAACAGTCATAAGGCAAGGACTGCCTGGCACCCAAAAAGGGCTAGATTTCACCCTACTGAGAATTTGGGGGGGGACGGGACGTGAAGGCTTAATTGCTTGTCTTTTTTTAACGAGCAAGTTATCCTTGAAACAAGCAGGCTGGATAGGAAATTCTAGGAATTGAAAGCCAGAAGTTGCACAGAAACGCTGATTCAATGTGTTCTGTGTATCCACATATGCACTATCTCCCCAGGAGTTAAATCAGGGTGTGTCCATTCACACTAGTATATGTGTCTATTCATACCGATTATGGTTCCATTTAAAAAAAAGAAAAAGTAGCATTTTCTTTCTACTTCTGACAGATAGTCAAACCCAAGTTCTAGCTTTCTTTCTATCTTTCCAACGTTCTGTAGCGTTGGGAAAATCAAAACACTTGAGACTTCCGAATCGAATAACTTTCTTGTCATTAACCAGGAAAAAGAATGAAGGGGGAAAGGGGGGAGGGAATTTCAAATATACAGAGCATCCCAAAATAAAAAGGAGTGATGCGTAGAAAATATGCTAAAAGGCTTCCTTCTTATTAGCTTAAAACTAAGCTAAACTCTAGAATTATAGAGTCCCTGGCAAAATTATAGACCCCTTGACAAAATGGAGAATTCCTACTAGAGTTCCTTCCCATTCTTCCCAGTACATCTGCTCACCAAACTGGTCTCTCACGTGCTGATTAAAAAAAAAAGTTATTGGGTGAAAAATGTGTTGTTATTTCATTCCTCCCAGTTTAATTTCCAGAAGGTTTATTTTGTTCGTGATAACAAGCTGTTGTGTAGATAAATTTTGGATGGGTGGGAGCAAGAAACTTCCAATGGTACAGATTTATACGTGAATAGTAATTTTGTAGAGAAACCTCAGATTTTATTTTGCTGTAGTTGAAAGCCCCTTTATTTGTGGACTTCAACTCCCAGAATTCCTGAACCAGCTGGCTCAGGAATTCTGGGAGTTGAAGTCCACAAGTCATAAAGGGGCCATACTTCCCCACCTTTGCCATGGTCACTTAAATTCACCCAAAGTGTTGATTTGGAAATTGGCATTCATCCTGTACTTTCCATTCTTAATTTTCTTTGGAGTTTCGCTGGATCCCTAAAGAAATATTCCACTTGTATATATTTTTTAAAACCACATTTCTTTCCCATCAAAAAAAACTCACCGTGACTTGTTCCTTGAAATCTCAGCAACAAGTACGTTCCCATTTCAGTAGGAAAGATTTACTGGAGAAGACGGATACTCATATAGTGAAGAAAGTAAAACATCTGGGTATTCATTTATCAGCGAGATGTGCAACTATAAAAGAAGATTATTAGCTTTAACAGAGTAAGGAAGACACTCAGAGATGATTCACACCCTGGTCAGTGTCTCTTTTCACTTCT